AGTAAGTGAACCAGTCTGCGCTGAAACTACCATCCGTCTTATGTATTCCCTGACTCATGTTCCTTGCGTCCTTTTTTTGGGTTATTAAAATTTCCTTTTTTTGGGTTATTAAAATTAAAATTTTGCACCAAGATTTTGATTGTTCTGATTTTTTAGGGGGACGATGTTTTTCTGAAGTGTTTGTGCATACACGTATTGTTGCACCCCGCATCTTTCTTGGACATAGATGTTTATTGTTATAATTCAATCGGTATTCTTAAATTCTAGTCATGGCAGCTGCACTTCCGATGCTTGTAGTGGATTTACTGCAAAGAACCATGGTGATGCATACCAGTGCCACATTGGAGGATGCTTATGCGGTAAACTGTGCCTTGTTGCGGTTCAGTATCTCGTCGTTTGAAATTTTGAGTTTGAAAGTTTGGGCATCAAACAATTTACCTACCCACCTACTAACCCTTGTCAAAATAAAACAAAACCAAAGGAAAGTGGTGCTGTAGCTTCATCTCCGCCATTGTTATTCATCAGTTCTTTCTTTTTTGGACGCTTGGACCTGTGCTCTGTCACTTCATCAAATTTCTCTTGTAAGCTTCTTATCCTTTATCCAGCATACCTTCTTACGAAGATGCGTTTGTTGATAAGTGAGAACCTAGTCTCCTGCAAAATTATTTTATGCTTCACTTATCTGTCCTTGGTTCTTGTCAAGTCTTTCTCTTGTAACCTAAGTTTTACAAATCGTTCAGGAGAGCAGACTTGGCAAGTGACTAGGTTACAGTTCAACCTTGACCCTCGGGGTTGGCGCATTCAATGGTGGCTGAATTTGGTGAACATCGATAAAAATGCTTCTTCCTGATTGAAATGTTTGCTGTACTTCTCTTTTTAAAATTAGATGAATTTTTGTTAAACTTTTACATTTTGGCAAGTTTTCCTTAAAATAGTCAATTACTTTTATTACTTTTTTCAAGTCATCTCTAGTTTTCACAATAATATGTTACTCCCTCCGTCCCAATTTAATTGTCTCATTTGTTTTGGGCACAAATTTTAATGAAAGTTGAAAAGATAAAAGTTGTGGATACGATTTGAGGAGAAAAGGTGAAATGACGTGGACCACAATTTTCTTTCCAACAAGGGAAACAGTATCATCATTTTGGGACATTCCAAAGAGGAAATACGGGACCATCATTTTGGGAAGGGGGAGTATTATGTCGTCGTACATGAATAACAGTATAACGCTAGATGTCTAGATGTAAGGGAGCGGGGCAAGAATTATTATCCAATCTTCCCCAATTTACTCGTCCCAGATCCAACAAGATTTTCCTGAGTGCAATTAGGCTTGGACTTGGTGTGGGCCACCCGGCCCTGGAACTGGCCCGGCCCGGGAACCAGCCCGGCCTGGCACTGTTTGGGCTCGCCCCATGAACCGGGAACCGGTTCCGGGTCAAGGCCCAGTTTGTGTGATTAACCGGGACGGGTACAGGCTATGTGAAATGCGAACTGGCCCGGCAGGGGCGGTTTGAGCCTAAACTATTTTTTTTTGTTTTTTCAATTTTTTTTGTTTCAACCGGGTGGGGTGGGGTGTTTTTGATTGGTGGGATGGTGAGGCCCGAGGGCCATCCCAACCCGTACCTGGTGGAAACCCTGGCCGATTTCGGGCCCTCCCCCATCACTCAAAAGTTTGGCTGGGTCTAGGCCCGATTTGGGCCCGAACTGGCTCCTGTCCATGACTAGGTGCAATGATGCATTTCTTTGCTTCCAAAGATCTGGATTGGTATTGCAGCGGGCAGAGACGGTTCTATGTTGATCCACCTGTTCACAGTGGCACAAGAACGTATTTTGTGACTTTGTGAGGCAGTAATATACTTCGTATTTAACTTAATTATCACCTTTTAATTGTAGTAATTGAAAGACTTGTGTTCTGGAATCCGGACTGCTTATACTTAACCAACCCACAAAAAGATAATTTTTTTCAGAATAAAGCCCTTCATAAATTGAATATCCTATAAGAGGTATTAAAATTCTCCAGATAGTATTAAAATTTTATAACATATCATGAAATAATATTGCAATATAATACTTCCAGGGTAGTGTTGCAAGAGTCTTGTTTACTTCTGGTTAGCTTCTTCAATTCTTAGTCAGTACGTCCAAGTTTTTTTAATTAATATTTTGTACTCTGCAAGTATATGTGCACGGTGTTTACTATGGAGATAAAATCAATTTAAAATTGAACTTACGGATGTGTCCATAAGCTCGACTTGGAAGAGCGCTCAAATTTTGTGTTTGAGAGGAAGGTGGTTCGATTCCACCTGGACACTTGATCTTTTATGATCTTTTAATTCTTGCAACAATTTGACTTTCACGGAGAGGAAGGTGGTTCGATTCCACCTGGACACTTGATCTTTTATGATCTTTTAATTCTTGCAACAGTTTGACTTTCACGTTTGCAAACGTACAATTTTGACTGTCATTATATTTAATTATGTATTAGTAAATATATTAGTAAATATAATAAAAAGTTGATATTATGGAAATTCACATTGATAGGAATTTAATAATGTGATAATTACGTAGTACCATATACAGTGTAATATTATGTAATAATCATATAATTGTAATATTTAATTTCTTAATATGATATTATGATATACTCTGTAATATTATACTTACCTGTCTCGTAAATAACTCAAAATTTTCAATATTAAACGGCATAAATACCCTTAACGGAATAATTATTATTTTTAATTGATTTGACATAGGATTTTGATCTCATTAAATTTTATTTTGCATAGATTTATAAGCAAATCAACCAATATTATTTTGAGGAGAATGGAGTTAGTATAATGATACAAGTTCATCTATTTGGTGATATTCTAGCCAGAACTGGACTCCGGGCTAGGACTGTGCTGGCTTGGGCTTAAGAATTTCAAGCCTGGTGTCGGCTTGGGTTTTTTTAGCGGGATTGGGCTGGGCCAGGCCTAAACACTACTGGGCTTCGGGATGGGACGGGACAGGACAATAAATTAAAAACATAGTACAATTGGGCCCGGGCCCGGCGGGTCGAAAAAAGAGCTCAAAGCCAGCCCTTATAACATCGGGCCGGGACTGGGCCTGAAAAGTAGCAGGGCGGCCTAAATAGTACGGGGTTGGACCGGGTCTGGGTCGGGTCAACCCATCCTAGTCCATCCCTACTTGCGAGTAGAGTTGTAAACGAATCCGACTGAATTGAAAAGTGTGATATTTGTCCTCGTATTTTATTTTTTTTGAATACAAATTTGAATATGAAACAAATATTAATATCGATTCGTATTCGTATTCGTTTAACAATATGAATAGTTAACGAATCATATACGAATATCAAATTAATTTGAGAATAAGTTAAATGTCACTTAGAATGTGTTTTTAAAGTTTAATTTAATACGGAGTATTTAATTAAATTGGGTTCAAGCAACCTGACAAAAATTGGGGGTAAAGTGGATTCTCTTGCCCAAGGCTTTAGAATCTGCTGTTGTACTCGATGTAGCGAATATCGCTTGTGGTGGTCAACATGCTGCCCTAGTTTCAAAGCAAGGAGAGATATTTTCTTGGGGGGAGGAATCCGGAGGAAGGCTTGGACATGGAGTTGATTCTGATGTTTTGCAACCAAAGCTTATAGATGCTCTAGGAAATACAAGCATCGAGCTCGTTGCATGTGGCGAACATCATAGCTGTGCAGTAACACTTTCTGGTGATCTCTACACATGGGGTGATGGTCATTTCGGTCTTCTTGGGCATGGGAATGAAGTAAGCCATTGGGTCCCAAAAAGAGTTAATGGCCCTTTGGAGGGTATACATGTATCATGTATTGCTTGTGGACCCTGGCACACCGGGGTTGTGACCTCTGCTGGGCAATTGTTTACTTTCGGCGATGGCACTTTTGGAGTTCTTGGGCATGGAGACCGGAAAAACGTTTTCAAACCTAGGGAAGTGGATTCTCTAAAGGGACTTAGAACTGTGAGAGTCTCTTGTGGAGTTTGGCATACTGCTGCTGTTGTAGAGGTCATGGTTGGAAACTCAAGCAATTGTTCTTTGGGCAAGCTATTTACATGGGGGGATGGTGATAAGGGTCGGCTAGGACATGGTGACAGGGAGTCCAGACTTGTACCGACATGTGTTGCTGCCCTAGTTGAACCCAATTTAATTAATCATATTAATATTGTTATTTTTGCCAAAAGATATTTAACATTGTTAATACTAAAATAAAGTTAAAAACCATTAGATATACGGTTTATATTATAGACACACATACTGGGTAGTTGATGTTGTATATGTATAAACCAATATATTTGAAAGACTGAAAGACGTTCGAACCGAAAAATCTGATTTTTATTCGTATTCTATATTTTCAAATTTAGATATTGTTTTTTAATCCAAATCATGAATTGAATAAAAAATTGTTTGGTTCGTTTACACACTTACTCTATATGATACTTTTGATTTATTAGAATTGAATTTGGAATGTTTATACGTAAATGTATATAGACTATGATAAGTAATTTCATAAAACTGTCATATTAACTTTTCTTGGTCAATAATGATCAAGTTTGTCCAATGATATTTCCTAATATGAGATTATTTCACAAATGAAAATTATATGAATATGTTTTTTGTTAAAAGTACTTTCATAAAACTATAAAAGTTATAACTCCACGCAAATATAATAACTAAAATCATTGCCTAAATGTTTTTATTATTGATTAAGAAAAGTCAAATTGATGAAGTTTTGTGAGCCAGAGAGAGTATAATTATTAATATTATTATCAATCGAATATATTTGAATAGCTTTATCAAATATGTTGATATTCTTATTTGTATTTGGTATCAATTCGAATCAAACTTAGTATTCTTATTTATATTTGTATTTTTCGAATAGTCTTGTATGAATTCGAATCCGGAACCGAACACAAATTATTAGATTCATTTACAACCCTACTCGCAAGTCAGAACCAGTCAAAGTCCACCCTACATGGGTTTGAAATCAAACGCATCAATGAAGGAATCTCAATATTTTAACGTTTTAACATGACTTACTCCAAACAATGGTTTGAGCCGTGACAAAATATTGCACTTGGTATTTGAGGATGTCTTTGCATTAAACTGATAGGATTACAAACATGTAAGATAAATAAACTAAACACTATATTCTAGCACACAACTGCACATAATGAGCCAACAGCATCCCAAAACCACCAGAAAAATCTAGCTGGGAGAGGTACCACTTGCTCCTATTTCCAGTATTTCCAGGTTAAAATCAATGCACCATAATTAGCATACAAAACAATGGGCCAGGGAAACCAACTACCATTTGTGTTTTAATTTCTTGACAGGGAATCTGCTGTACACATTTGTTGCTGTTCTTGAGGTTATCATTGAGAAGGATCTGTAGAGGTTGAATCAGAGGGCAGAACTGTCTGTGACGCATTCATATTTACCTTTATCCTGAAAATTTATATAGATGAATTTAATACAATGACATTGTTGTCCAAGCTATTCACTGGTTTTTCTCTGTTAATAAGTTGGTATTGGTTTAACATCTTGTTGATCATAAGGTGCCCTCAGAGATAAAGAAGGCCCTGATTCCTGAAGATACTCTCCAGATACTCCACCATTTCAGTTTTCAGTCTGTCTTAAAGTCACAATGTGACAAACATGAACCATTATCCATGTTGAGCATATAACTGAAGTTTTACTTAGGGTATGACTAATGTTTTAAGTATCAATTCTTACTTGTTGTGAATGTTCACATATTCATCAGTTTCGTCCAAAATCTCTTCCTGACAAAAGCAAAGAAGACAATAATTATTCTTTATACTTTTTATCCTGGCAATTTATAATGTTTTTCTTTTTAGTCCCTTGCAGACCCTAGCAACCACCACTTGACAAAAACATGCATAACTAACGGGTTTGCTTTCTTACTTTTCCAAATCATTCCAAAAGTATTTAAAATTTATTTTCAAGAAAGATATTGAGACCTATGTTACAAAGGCGAATGTTTTGTTTTTATTTAGTTTTAACTTCATTAATACTGTACAAATATCTATTAAAGTTGAAGTGAAAAGTTTGGAGTGAGTTATGCAAGTGATATTAATTAATTTTAAAAAAATGGAGATTGCCCAGAGTTAGAGAGACTGAAAGGAAAACATTATATGTTGCCAGGATGGAAAACAAAAAATGTAGGGATTTGGAACAAAAAGAGTTACTCCGTATAATATTAGAGACCAAAGACATATTTAAGCCTTGTTATCATTCTTTTTGGGATGTGCACCTGGAGAAGCTCCTCAATGACATCTTCCATGGTAATCACACCCACAACTTCTTGATTTGGAGGGAACTCAGGAATCGGAGTTTTGTCAAGATCTAAAATACAAAATGAGCATCCTCTGTGTCTCTTCTTGAAAGCAGGAATTAGATCTCCTTCACCCGCCTTGCTCATTCCAGCCACCTTTTCACCATCATGTGACATCGGTGATTTAACTCCCGTATTGTTTTCAACCCCATCTATGCCAAATGAATAAAGTAACAGTAAAATTTTAAGTCAATATTAAGACCTGAGGTTTATTCTAAAAGGTTAATGACGGACAGATGAGAAGTCCAAATGGTTGGTTGGTTTGTTGTTTCATATTTAGCCAAGAACGAGTTCTTCAACATACAACATAACCATTTGATGTATATCAAAGAAAGACTTGAGGAGCATTTTCAATAATAATAGTAAGTGAATAATTAATAAGGGTACCAAAAAACCTTTAGACTTGTTGGCCACAGCCTCTCTGTTCTCATCCAAGTCTTTGTACACAACAGCAATATGACTGTGTCCCTTTTGGAATTCATTCAGAATATCATACAGAGGTATCTTTTCAGAAACTCTGTCAATGTTTTAAAGACCATCCAATAGTGCATTTCATTATTTTTAAAATATATGACATAGATCTCAGTGTGGATAATATAAAGATTTACCTAGGAATTTTTCTTAATGTCATCTTCCTTATTGGAACAGAATCCTCTGGATTAACTGCTAGAAGATTTTTAACCTGCTTTCACATTGTAAAGAAAAGGGACTCTAAGGATCCATTAGAAACACTGAAAATGTCAGGGAAAGCAATATGAAGGGAAATATAACATTGATTCTAGGTCAATAAATTAATTTCTGATGTTTGTTCCAACTCATTTTCTATATACTACTCTGTATTTAATTTACTTGAGTAAAACCCACAAGAAAATAAATTCATTCGCACATTTCCTCCCTTTCCTAACATTTTCCGGGATGCAACGACACCCTTAATGTATAAAGTTTTGGCAAAAAATGGGAAAAAACACATTTTAAAGTATGCCTAGCATAAAAACAAATTACCAAGAAAAGCCCAATGATGTTTGTGGTGTTTCTATAGTATACCGGCACTCTACTGTGCCCCATCGTCATTATAGAATTGAGTGTCTCCCTACAAAATAAAGGAATAGACAAGCAAAGGTTCAGTAAGTACATAGCTACAAAAGATCAAGATCCCGTTTGACAACCATTTATTTTGTTGGTATGGCCTGAGTCTCCATAAATTTTCCAAAATGAAAAGCATTTGGTTAAATCAAATGATCCAATAATCCATTTCAGCCAGATAAGTAAGTCAAAAATAAGAAGAATAAGTCAATTATGGATGCCAAACAAAGCCTAAATCTCTGAACGAACAGTAGAAAATAACTTATAACTTACAAATTAAGGGTTCCATCTAGGTCAACAGAAAACGCTTTTGATATTGGAGTCATGGCATCTTTAGCCGTTTTCTCAGTCAGCTCAAGAGCTCCCGCAATAATGGTGGTTTCATCATGAGTCAAGTCACCTCCTTTCCCAGCCTAAAATAGGGAAATAAAAACAAAATGTTAAGCATAATTTATGGTGGAAAAGGACATACAAATGGTATATGTTCAAACCTCATTTCCATGAAAATCAACAAACGTTTTCAGCTCTGCTCTGCGCAGGAGGGCAGAATGGTCTTTTCCCAACATCCAATCCAAAACCTAGAAACATAACCAAAGTTTAAATATTCATATATTGTTAAGATTTAGTGTTCCATCTTACAAAGTCAAGTAACACAATGCCTAGCATGTTGTTCAGTGTTTATAGATATATTATGATGTCATAAATGAGTAACCACATTTGGTTTGTACGGTTTTTTTGGAACAAGTGAAACCGATTTTTGGAGTAAGCAGCAGAGTGGGTCAGTGTATTTAGTGCTATTATGCTGGGGTATTTGGCAGAGTAAGAACAGGAGGTTGTGGCAAGGCTCTCAGGAGATATTACAACTCTTGTGGCAAAGACTTTTTCTTTCTGGAATAGCTGGAAGGAAGCACAGCGAGCTGGAGTAGGAAGATCTGGTGCGGAGCAAGAACGATGACTGCACGTGCAGCCAGAACAAAGCAGTTGGGAGCATGCAAACTGAGAGGGGGCACTTTGGAAGGGATAGGCTGAAACTGAACGTGGATGCAGCATTGGGAGAGGATCGGTGTGGGTTTGGGTGGGTAGTTCATAATCGGAAGGTGAGTTTCTTGCGGCAGGTGCGACACCATGTGAGGGGAGGTTCATGGCTCTTGAGGCAGAAATACTGGGAGTACAGGAAGCTCCAGCTTGGTCGCATTCTCATGGATGGGATATTGTAGAGGTCGAATCAGATGTACTCCAGTTATTCTCGAAATACAGAACAGAGGCAATTAAACAGCATCAGGGATGATGGCAGAATCAAGTTGCTCACTCCTTGGCTTGGGCAGCCATTTCAATTTGTAGCCGTTTTTCTTCCAAAAAGACCACTTTTTGTTTGATTTCCTCTAACTAAGAAAATCACATTCTTTACAAAAAAGTTACATATTGAAGACGTTCCCTAAAAATGAGCAGAACTCTGAGTCCCTGTTTGGTAGCAATAAGCAGCCTCTGACTTACTTATTTGGCTGAAATTGATTGTGACAAAAGGTTTACATTTGTTCACCCACATTTCAGCCAAAAAAATCTCACCAGATGGGTCCGAAATAACAAACACATACAACAGCAAAACTTTATACTTTTGTATTCTGTTTACCTTACTAATTGGATAAGCAACAGGGAAGAAAACCCAAAGAAGGAGACGGACAAAAGGCGCTACCGTGGCACCAACTGTTAGTCCATAGCGAGTGCAAATTGCTTGTGGCATAATCTGAACTCACAAACACAACCTAAGGCATGGTTACAATTTGATAGGTTAAAACATGCACAATTAGGGTTTAATTTCTAAAGCATACATATACCTCACTGAAGACGAGAATGAGTGTAACCGAAAGCAGAATTGCTGCCCAGGAAGGAACAAGCTTGTCCAAGAATATAGGAAGCGACTAGATCGAGTTGAAAACATAAGCACAAAAATGAATCAGCTAAGTCATTAGTTAGCACTTAGCAATAATACCAAGAACGAATTAGCTTAAAACAATATTCTACAAACCTCCATTGCTAAAGAGTTGCCAATCAAGAGTGTGCACAGCAAAAGATGTTGATTTTTCACAACTGGAAGAATCTTAGCTGTTATGAAAACAAAATTCCAGATTTAAGCACACATATACAAACACAAAAAAGTAGCACTCCTTACACACCAACTACAACAGTCGTTAACCACTCATCACAGTACAAAATATTGTTTTTAGCCACAATTTCATCTGCTCAAATGGAAAAAGTTGGGGTTTAAATGCTGATTTATGAAAAAAATTATATTCAAAATATATTTAAAAACAGAAATGTATGAGAAAAAGAGAGGCTAAACCAGCATTTTTACATTATTAACCAATTCAGAACGTTAAGGAAGTGTATTTCAAGTAAAATACAGTAGCTAGCTACTAAAATCCCACTAAAGATGAATTTCCCAAAAGTCTCTGGGACTGCTAAAGTCAACTGCAATTCAGTATTTGTTTCGGTTTCTATGAATTTCACTTAGAAGCCAAACTATATTGCCTAAAAAACGGATTAATCATTACTCGAAATGGGGCTGCTAAGAAAATCGCTCGAACACACCCCAATAGCTAAATCAATTTAAATGAAAAAAGATATAAAAAGAATGAATCTTGGAGGGAGATAGAGAAATACAGACAAGCATGAAGACGGTCTCGGGGACGGCCGGACTTGCTGAGAACTTCAAGGTCGACTAGGCCCAGAGACATGAGGCCAAGAGTGAGACCGGCCATCAGACCGGCAAACGCCACCAATCCAATGCAAACCAATACATACACTGAAAATTTCGCACTGCAGCAGCTCTCTTCTGCTGCCATCTCTGTTATTCCCCGATTTGATCAACCAAAAACATGGTCCTCTGGCGTGTGAGAATGTTGTAACGATGCTCCACTATTCAGCTTCAATTAATGAAGGAAAAAAATTACGAATTTGGTAAATTTGGTGAATTTCTATGAATTTGGTTGAACCATTCAGCTTTAGGTGGAGAAGAAGTAACTTTTGATTTTATTTTTTAAAATTGTGTAAATAATAAAATAAAGTAAGGTTGAAATTATTTTTTTTGCTACATTGGCTGAAAATACGGTAGATAATCATTTTAGCTATTTTAAATATAATTTTTTTCTTATTTTATTAATAAAATATATTTTAATTTTTTTTCCATAAATGAACACAATCAGTCAATAAAGTCACTTCAGTTATAAATTCATAAATTTTAGCAGAATCAGCCAATGGAATCGATTTAGGTATTACCAAACGGGCTCTATAATTCTAAATTTCTTATCTGTACCACACATGTCTTATTTAGAAAAAAAAATTATTTTCAAAAAGGATAGGGACCTTATGCACCAAGTTTTGTACTCCCTCCATCCCGAATTATAAGATACTTTTCGGTTTACGATGTTTGACGGACGATAAAGAAAACGGATCCCTGTGTGCACTCAACCTAATTTTAGAAAAAAAGAATTACATATTCAGAAACTACATTAAAACCGCTACAAAACCTGCAAAAAATAATTCAAATTTCATAAAATTTTGATATATAAAGTAAGAGATTAAGAGTGATTTGTGTTGACCAAGTGAATAGTATAGACATCTTATAAAATGGGACATAGGGAGTATCTAATATTATGTGACTCTATTTATGCCAAAAAGCTTTATTTACTTTGAAAACGCTTCATAAAATTTATTATTCCATGATTGAATTCTCTTCAGAATTCATTTTTTAAGATAACTTAGAATATCTATCTTTCGCCGGCCGACTACAAATGGTAATCCTGATACCGGTCACCAAAATTCTCATACAACCAGAGCATATTATTTATAGGGTACCTTTCCTGAGCTCTAGGGGCACCCCTCTCCACAGAAATGCCCATCATATCACCATGCTTTCTTGTCTCTTGATCATCACGCTCAACCCCTTGGTAACCAAAATCAATAGACATGAAGATAATGGATCCAGCATAATCATTAACCACCTTTGGTCAATTCATGACCCTCATAACTTCCACGAAATAATTTCATTCTACTCTATCTTACGCTTTACTCATATCTAATTTAAGAGTCACACCCACCCCTCTTTATCATGTCTCATATTCTTCAAATAATGATGTGTTTCAAAAGCTATCATCACATGATCAACAATTGACCTCCTTGATATGAAAGCACTTTGATTACATGAAACTACAAATTTTAGGATTCTCTTCGGTCTGTTTGCAAATCTTACTTAAGTATTAATACTAGGTTAGTAATATTAACCTCCTTAGAAATATTACCTTCCTCCATAATTTGCATGCAAAAACAAACTACGTCTAGACCCACTACGTTTCAATAATGTTCATAAAATCTTAGGTGAAGACCATTCGGACCTGGGGCCTTATCTGGATGCATCACAAACACTACATTCTTACCCTTTTGATTAGTGATAAACCTCAAAACAACTAGCTGAAATGTCCCCTGACGGCTTTTTATTTATTACCCACGCCCCTGTATGGCTGCATATGAAAGAATTTTGTTTATCGTGTAATTCGTGTTCATACATCTTCGTTGCTTAATAGCATTGTGGAAATATTTTGTATTAGCATCACCTTGAGCCAAAATCGTTTCCCCTTTGTTTCCATTTTTTTTTTTGCTTCGGAAGAAGTTTGATCTGACTGGCTTTCACTTGGTGAAACTCCACAACGCTCCAAGGCCTCCTCTAGAGCGAAGATATGCTAACGCTTTTTTTAGAAAATCAATTCTTGCTTGGAAACACAATCTTATGTTTTTTCTCCAAATTTCAAAACTCTGGCAACACTCGATTAGTTTCTGCCCCATAGAACCTAACTGATTCAATTCTCTCGCTAGGCTTCCTGTATTACCAACCTACACTCTTCCTCTTTGAGTCAAATATTATCAAACTTAAGATATCTCCTAACGCCCATTGAATCCCCTATAGCAGCCCAGATAAATAACATCAGATGATCACTTGAATAACACTTCACTGAAGTGGCGTAAACACTTCTGTATAGATCCAACCAGCCTTCATTAGCCAAAACTTGGTCCAGTTTCTCCTCCGGAATTCGTCCATTGGTGGCCTTCAAAACTCACAGTGTAGGCCACAATTCAGACAACTTCTCTAAAGCCCCTTAGTAGCCATTGCGGTTGCGGAAATCTGCCTCTCCGTTCACACTCAAATATACTCCCTCCGTCCCAATTTGTCTTGGGAAGTCAACAATTTTTGGTCAAACAATAATAAAAGTCAACCCTCCGTATGGATAATTAATTCAGTTTTTAATAATTAAAATTTACATATTCAAAAACTACATTAAAATCTCTTCAAAGTTGTAAACTCCAAATTAGAATATAATTAAAAATTGACATCCTAATTAAGTGAACAAAACGAGACTGTTTGACTAAGAAAAGTCAAATTTGCAACTCTTTTTGGGACGGAGGTAGTATTATCGTTAAAATTCCCAAAAACTCTCTCCTCTAAATCCTCTCTGGAAAGCCATAGTATCCCGTTAGGCGCCATTCTGGTTCGTCCCTTCCAACTTGATCTTGGAGTCTATGAAGTTGGAAGAGGAGCATAATATATTCAATGCCAGCCCGTCCTTCCATAGCAAGCATAAACCCCCACTCTGTCCATTGCTATCAATTGCAAAACAATTTCGGAAACCCACCGCCTCCCTTACCTCTTCGCACCTATGTCTCGTGGCCTCTGTTCCCGTCAAAAGAACAATTGCCACATTCCTTGACCTTACCATGCCTATGTAGCAAGATTCCCCATACCTCGACAATTCCAAATCACAACGCTCATGCTTAAAATTAGAAATGTCAAACGGGCCAACCCGACCCGGCCCGTAAACGGGTTATGCTTTATGTGGGTTGGGTCGGGCCAACCCGTTTAATGTCAGGACAGAATTTCTACAACCCTAACCCAGCCCACCTAACCTGTGGGTTAAACGGGTTGGCCCACGGGCCAATGTAAAAAAAATATAACAAAAAATTCTTTAAAAATAATTACCTGAAATTATATATTTATATTAGTAAGTAATAACAAAGGAAATATAAAAAATCAAAATACTAAAAATTTAATACTTGTAAAGTTTAATTGAGAAATATTAAATACTAGTTATACGAGAATTTGAAAACTATAAGAGGGTACACGACAAAAATAATCAAATGTATAGAAATAAAGATCTACATAAACCTTTTGATTGATTATTTGTAAATAATGACTACTAATTGTTAAATATTGTATCGAACTTCACATAAAATATACTTTTCAACATTTTATTTGAATATTTATTATAGCAATAAATATTGTTTTGCCATGGTTGTAATTTTTTAATTGTAATTATAATAACATTGGTAGTATAAGAACAATATTTAAGATAATAAAATTCAAAACTATATTTTTGTATTTTGCCCCGCGGGCCAACCCGCAACCCAGTGGGCCAACCCACTTAAACCCGCAACCCGCGTGAGTTGACCCGTGAAACCCGCGAACTAAATGCGTCAAAAATTATCAACCCTAACCCACTAATAAATGGGTTTAAACGGGCAAGCCCGCGGATTTCGGCCCATTTAGAAAGGCTTTTATGACAAACATCGAAAGTCTAGGCCGAAAAACCAGGTTTGGAAATCACAAGTAAATCCAAACCCAATCTTGCCTCCGGCAGAAAGGTGATACAGACTGCCTTTTTTGAGTATTAATTGGGCTTTCATGTATGGTTTTTACATAGAAGGGCATTAAAGACATTATATATCAAACTTAGTCACTACTATTGTGATTCCACCCGTATACGTCACATAGCGTTTCTAATTTGTTTTTCATACGTGTAGTCAAATAGCAGTAATTAATTACGGTGCACATAGTGTTTCTAGTCAAAGTTTAATTAATTTATGTAAGTTGTCGTTATTCAACAAATTACAGAGGAGTGGAAGGACACACTTTTTTCCTAGCCGGATTTTTTTTTAAACCCAGAAGGCAAATCATCAAAATCAGTGGGGTAAATGCCTGATTATTAGAACATAATACATTCAGGGACGATATCTTATGAGCGTCAATCACCATATGGCGTCGTGGACAAAGAAGCAAAACAAGCTGTTTGAGAATGCATTGGCCATCTACGACAAGGCGGACTGTCCCAACCGGTGGCGCAACTTGGCCATGGCAGTGGGCGGCGGCAAGACGGAGGAGGAAGTGAAGAGGCACTACGAAGTGCTTGTGGAAGATATCAACCGCATTGAGTCCGGCAAAGTCCCTTTACCTAAATACCGCGGCGATCATGTTATCTTTGTGCGGCCAAGAAACGCCACCACCAACGGCGTCGCTGCCGATGCACTCGTCATGAAGGAGAGACATCATAATACTAAGTAATTACTTCGTTAACATTTTGATGTCTACTCAACTTTGTAATGCTCCATAACATAAATCTCTTTAATTATTGTATACTCCATATAATAATCTGCCATCCATAAATCCATTTCGATCAAGTGGTTCGATCGTATTGATTAAATTTTAAACATAAAAATTAGTCATCTTCGACTTTCTTAATTACTACTCCGTAATTAATGATGTTGAATTTTGATTTTTAATTAATATGTTTCTCAACAAGAAAAAATACACTACTTCCGTCCTAAAATTTAGTTCTCATTCAGTATTTCTTCATGAGAAAATTAACTCTCCTATGACTAAAAGAACATCATATTCCCAATCTATGACTTCTTCACTTTTTTCCCTAATGTGATACTTGCATAATATACTTGGTCGTCCACGTTTCTTTATTTTCTTTTTATTCCACCAATGTCCTCCGTACAATAATGAATAAGTAGTTATTTCTCCTAAAATTAAGGATTCCATTAGCCTTCCACCGCATGCATGTATATTTATTAATTAGACTCCTAAAAATAAGGAACTGCTTCTTTATGTAACTACCAAGAAATTGCTTCCATTATATAAATTATGTTATTATTGTT